GGTTGGACGCCATCGCTAGTGGGTTGGAGGCCATTGCTTTTGGGTTGGAGGCCATTGCTTTTAGGTTGGACGCCATCGCTAGTGGGTTGGAGGCCATTGCTTTTGGGTTGGAGGCCATTGCTATTAGGTTGGACGCCATTGCTAGTGGGTTGGAGGCCGTCGCTATTGGCATTGCTATTAGGTTGGAGGTTGGAAGGCATCGCTAGTGGGTTGGAGGCCATCGCTATTAGGTTGGACGCCATCGCTAGTGGGTTGGAGGCCATCGCTAGTGGGCTGGAGGGCATCGCTAGTAGGTTGGAGGCCGTGGCTATTGGGTTGGAGGCCATTGCTTTTAGGTTATGACTCTTCAATTTCTTCTTGTCAACTCACTCCAGCCTGAAAGGATCGAAGCATGCATTGTCCGATGTATTCTCGGGTCTCACGGGGAACCAAAGGAGCTTCCGTGATCACCACGACACACTCGTCAGGTGCTTTGCGCGCCACATTGTAAAAGGCATGAGACCAAACATGCATCATCTCCTCCCACTTCTCAGGAATCAAGCGCTGGATTGGGTAAGATCTGGTGTAGCGAGACGCTCCCTTTGTCGCGGCCTCTGCCGCTTCGCCCACCAGAGTCTCATCCTCCTTTTTGGCTAACATGGTACGGAACTGTAAGGGAGCGTCGTCTCCTCCACAGCCCACTTTGAAGTAGCCAGTGCCCATGTCGAACACAAGGATTGTGAAATCATCATCAGGTGACACGATCATCTATGCCAGTAGCAAGGACAAAACCAATCAAACAACTCACTTGAGCACACTTGGACAAAATACTGGATCAATGTCAGAACAATTGCCAGTCTGGCATCTGCACACTCAATTGTTTGGTCACCAAAACACTTCCACACTTCCGCAAACTGACAATGAGTCCTCAAGAGGTGTCGACATTTTCACTCATCACATGTCACAAGGATTGAGGCCATGACCAGTGACTTTTCTCCAGCATATTCAATCAGCGCCCACCTTTGTTTCCACTCCACCAACAAACACATTCCACCGTCCAAATCAGTCAAGCTCTTGTGTGTGTGTCAACACCTGTATCCAAGGAATTTGCATACATGCAGGGGGGCAGTGGTCCTTTCAGCAGTCACTGCCTAACAAAGACACTGCTGACCGGATGTGACATGACTCTGGGACGCCAGAGTCACGTACCTGCAGCATTCATCCAGTTTCGGTTAAACAATACTCTCCAGGCCGACCTTCTCACCTTTCTGTTCAGGGCCATTTCCAGGTTGAGGTTCCAGCGCTCTAGATCGGTAGCGCAATCGCTACAGTGGCACTTCATCCACCGATTTAGCTCTTGCGAGCATCCATCTAAGTGTGTGTGTCGCCACAGAGTCCCACTGCGGGCTGTGGTGTGATCCTCACCGAGGGGCGCAGCACGCGCACAGACCCAGATCCTGGGGAACCCCTCTGATTGTGCCTTTCTGACCTTCCCTTGTAATCCCACAGGCCTACGGAACTGCACGAGACTGCTGATTGAACGCCGCAGGGCTTACTGAGATCAGACTCCAGTTTGGAACTTCACATGCTGCTAAGTAATCACATGTCACGAGGCGGGACACATGCGGCTAACTATTCACTTTTCTGGCTTTTCCTTCCTGCTGTTGCTCTTTGTTTTTAGGTCTAATTCCGTTTGGCTTTTTAGGTCTCAGGTCAATTTTTAGTCAAGTGCTAAGTATTCACCTGTACGTTTCACACTGAGTAATTCATGCACGGTCTTGCTTTCCTTCTTTCCAGGGTTCTTTCCTCTTCTTCAGGTTTTCGTTCGTTGCTAGAGGCTTTTTAGGTTTCAAGGAACCTTTTAGTCAAGGGAGCGCCAATCACGGCTTTTCGTCACGCCTTCGGGCAAGGACCCCCACACCCCCACCCTATGCCCCCGCACCCCTTGCACCTTTCTCTTCTTTTCTTGCCTTTTCGTTTGCCTTGTTCTTTCTCTCAGGCTTGTTAGGTGGACATCCAGGCTCGTTTAGTCAATGCACACCCTGCCCACCCCTGCACCCCTTGCACCCTTCTCTTCTTTTCTTGCCTTTTCGTTTGCCTTGTTCTTTCTCTCAGGTTGTTAGGTGGACTTCCAGGCTCGTTTAGTCAACGCACTCCCTTCCCCCCCCCCACCCCCACCCGCGAAGAAAAAAGAGAGCGCACCGATTACGGCTCGGTGTGTGTGTGTGTGTGTGTCAACACCTGTATCCAGGGAATTTGCATACATGCAGGGGGGCAGTGGTCCTTTCAGCAGTCACTGCCTAACAAAGACACTGCTGACCGGATGTGACATGACTCTGGGACGCCAGAGTCACGTACCTGCAGCATTCATCCAATTTTTGTTAAACAATACTGTTCAGGCCGACCTTCTCACCTTTCCGTTGCGAGCAGGGCCATTTCCAGGTTGAGGTTCCAGCGCTCTAGATCGGTAGTGTAATCGCTACAGTGGCACTTCATCCACCGATTTAGCTCTTGCGAGCATCCATCTAAGTGTGTGTTTGTCACTTGCCAAAGACCCGGTTTGTTACCAAACTCTTTTGATCATAATATCTTCCCCCTTTGACATCCTTTGACTGACCCGCCTGCTCTTCAATCTCCTGCACGCGCCTCTGCAGCCCCAGAATCTGTTGCTGCAATGACCTGGGGATCCAGTGCTGCTCCATGGCAAGTGTTTGAAAGGAAACAACTGTTAAGAGCAACCGATTGGAAGCTCCGGCACCCATCCACGACGTTGAGGTTCAAACGTCTTCTCTCCCTTCAGAGTGGTGATTTGCTGCTGCAAGCCTGCTTCTTGCTGTGTGCTTAAAAGGCTTGATTCATGCATACAGAAAACATTGTGCAATATAAGGCAAACACTGAACAGCTAGAAAATACTGTTTAAAAAATATTGAACAAATACATCCTCTGCCGCCAGATGAGCGTCTGCCAAAACGTACTGTCAATCAAAGGACATGATTCAGCAAGGTTATCCCTTTTGAGGAGGGGCCTGTCGCTTTTGCAGGTTTTAGCCACAATGTCAACATAGCTGAACGTATCCAAAAACTGTGGAAATAGGATTATCGCTTTTGAGGGGGGCCTATCGCTTTTGCAGGCTTTACCCCAATTCCTGAGATTCACGACCGCTCTTTATTGAATTAGTCATTGCACGTTTGGCGATTGCTCAAATAATTTCGCCAGGAGCACGTGAGTTCTCCGCCTTTTGCTGAGCAAAGTGCCGCTTGACTTCATCCTACAAGTGTTGAAATGCGTGGTGATCCAGTGTCCTTTTGCTCTTTCTGTCTTCCTCAACTGACAAGCACTGCTGGACTTCATTTTCTGGACTCAAAGTCCTGCAAACGTTGAACGTCTCCGACCATGGTCTTCTTGAGCTCTTGCAACTGCCCCTGGTAGTGCTCCTGGCAAAATGGTACACAATGACTGGGAAGAACCGCAAGCTGTGAAATGTATGAAATTCAGTCCACGCAATTGCACCCCCAGCCTCAATGCCAGCCTTGTCTCCGCGAAGACTTTCAATCTCCTGCCAACTGTGGCGCCAAGTGGTCTGCTTGCAGGTAACATTGGTCATACAAACAGAAGCAAGACCAGGACACGGAAGCTCATGTAAGTAGTATTGGTCCTGACGCTGTGCCGCCAGCTCTTCATTTTGCATGGAGATGAAGTCCTGAAAGGAAAATCATGCGACAGCTACTTCAGGCTCGCAAAAGGAATCCATTTGCAGCGACGGCAGATCACGCTTCTCGATGCCCTATGCTCCCACTGCACTGAAATGACTGCATCTTGCCTCCAGAGCAGCCAGCTTTCCCTTGAGCCCTGTGGGGGCAATGCTCCCCATGGTGGCGTCCATGGTGGCCTCAGAGAAGAATCTTCCATGGTCAAGGGCATACTGAAAGTGTAAGCTGCCTGAATTTCAGCCGACCAAAGGCAACAGTCAGAGCTATGGGCTGAAGGGGCTTGAGCCAAGCTCAGCAGTTCTGACTTGATTCATTCTTTCAACGATATGCATGGTGTATTGTTGATAGGATACCCGTCGTGATTCTTCTTTTAGCAGCATAGCCCAACCGCCAACGTGCAGTGCAGGAGAGCCTGCTTGGGCAGCCACAGGCGTTTGCAAGCCAAAACAACATTTGCACAGGTTGTTACTGTAATTAATATCATAGATGCCATCCTGTTAATCCAAATCATTGCTAGGCTAGAGCCAATACAATACCTGCAGATTGGCAGCCAGCAAAAACGATAGCTTGTGAATCGGCAACTCCTATTCACCAGTTTGTCTGGCACTACAGGTGAAACCTTGACAGCCTCCGAAATGCATTTTCAGTGGACTATTTGGTTCGGACAACTCGCTCGGGTAACAAAAACAACAGAGGCGTCAAGTTTGCAACCAATCATGCTGCGCACGCTCCGTTAGAGAGACCCACGTTCGGTGGATGTGCGAAGATAAAGTAAATCACCCGATCGTGCTCTCAGCGCGCGCTGTAGGCTTCGGGTCAAATGCGCCTCATCTTAATTCAAGTAAAATAGATTGCACCAATTTCGTGTATAACAGCTGAGTTGGGAGAAATGTCCACTTGCTAACAGGCCAACAATGTCTCAAACATGGCTATCCGGGCATCCCAACCAACACTGGTCGTACGTGGTTCTTGCGGTCAATGTTTCTCATGTGCGCAGTATGTCTGCAGCAAACTCCTCTAATTCTTCATGGTTCTTCCCATCGGTCTACAGTGCGCTGCAGGAGATGAAGATCGAGGACAAAAAGCCAGCCCAGGCCAGCGAATTGGACAATGCAAGACTGGCTGATGTATTTGCAGCACCGCATCACCAAAAAAGGCCTTTAGGACGCAAACCGAACAAAGAAGCGCAAAGAAACGTACCGTGAAGTGTGCGCATGCCGTATACAATCATTGGTAGTACACCACCACCATCACCACCACCACCCAAATGTTCATTTGTTTTGTCTGTGCATGGACTTGGACCCTCGAAAAATTTTAGGAATAACCTTACAATCACTTGGGGGAGCGAGACATCAAAAACGAATTGGGTATTTCTGAAGCTTGTTGAGCAAATGACGCACAACCCGGCATCACCGGTTACAATATACCAACGCGTCATTGTAAAATCACCCGTCCCCATGTGTGGTCCCGTTATCGCTTCTGTGTCACTGAACCGATCGCCGAGAAAAGTGATGAACGGAGGCGTCACCCAATCTTGCAATTTGCACGAAAACAAGAAGGGTTCACTTTTTTGAGTGTGCCAAAACGACTCGATGTTGGACGTCGGTGAGTCCTCCGACCATTCCTCGAAACAGCCTACTCGCCGCTGTGCGACAGCGGTCGAAAGCGAAGGAGTTGGTCAACTCTAGAGACACAAAAAGGCATCAAAGGAGGCTTCAAATACATCAAAGGAGGGCGTGCGGCGTAGCCGCCCGTCCTGAACCCAGTGTGTGGTGCCGTGGCCAAGCAGGGAAACGCCTGCCTTGACCTGGGTGAGTTCACATCAAAGCCTGAGAAAATCCATGGCTCCAATTTCTCAGAAAATCCATGGTGGGTAATCTTTCGTGACTATAACAATAATGTACTGCCGCTCTCCGCAACAAATCGGTTTGGCCATGCTTGGCATCTGAACTCACCCTGAGATTTGTCCCCCGAAGACGCGTCGAAGATGATCCTTCGCCTCCGGAGCTGATGCGACCTCCACGCGACGTGACGCCGGTCGAGGGGCGCGTGACGCCGGTGCGGCGAGACGCGAGACGCGACGCGGCGCAAACGCGTTCCATCCGGGCCTCATGTCCAAAAGAGTGTTGTCAATGATGTGCCAAAGGCTTGAATCACGCTCAATGGGTACCTCCATCTCCGACCCTCGATCTCGAGGATTCTCCCAGACAAACCGTCCGGCCCGCTTCGCTCGCGCGCGCAGGACGAAAAGGCCAGACCAGGAAGAAGGGCACTTGAAGTCGAGACTGAAGGTTTGAGGGCCAATCTTGCCATACCTCAATCATCCAGACATATCCAAACCCGAAAGAAAGTGATTGCGCTGACAGTGATTGCGCTTGCTATATCTCCTTATTCTCCCAGAACTTCACACAGGTCTGGATTGCTAGCTTTCTAGGTAATTGACAAGTTCAAGTTCAGGCTCTACCAAAGGCCACCTGCAGCTGCAGCCCTAGGACGGCTAGGAACTCGCTAAAACCATTGAACTTGAAAACCCTGCTGACTGTCGTTTGCAACTCCGCTTGTAGCTCCAGTTTGTGACTGACTGGTTACCTGCTTGTACCAGTTTGATGCCCTTTGACTGTCCTCCTAATTTCATGAATACGGTACCCTTGGCAGCCGGGTACTCTTTGTTTTCCCAGGTTGTACGCACCGCACGGACAACCTTGTTAGGCTGGGCACCGATATAAAATGTGTTTGTAGCACACGGCCAGCAAAGAAAATCCGTCAACATTCTACCGCTGGTCACATCTTTGGTTCATGTTGTATCATCAAAAAGATCGCCTTCGCAGCCACCCTAGCATCAAAAAATGTTGAACCTCCCCACAGACCCCACAGAAAAGAACAAAACTGCAGCAAACAGGAAAACATCAAAGTCGCAACCAAACCCATTAGCCAAGAAGCGTGTTTTTCAAATGACGCTGCTCAGAAAAAGAAAGGAGGCTCAAAACAGCCTGCGTTACCAAAATTTCCACTTTGAGACGAACCCAAGGCAGTAAGAGGCCAGACCGCCAGACCTTTGGCAACCCTTGGGATCCAGGCTGGCAGAGGACGTGATCTGGTTTCTGGGACCTTGGAACCGTGAAGACACGCTGTCCAGCTGAGACCCATCTCGGACTGAGTGACCCACAAAGCAAGCTGAAAGTTTTTGGCGGAGGACAAAATGTGCCGGCCCTTGAAATCCAACACCAGGCTTTCAACCTCAGTCGTTCAGACTGGACAGACTGGAAGTTGAGACCTGAACAACTTTCGGTTTGGAGAGTTTGCGTTTTGAAGAAAGTGCATGCTTCGTTGCCGCATGAAAAAAAAAAAACATCTTGTTCCCACCCCCAGGAACTCCATGTAGGACTCGGGCCTCCTCGTTCCAACTTGGCTGCTTGGTCATCAGCTTCTGGGCCTCGAAAAATGAGACACTGTGGCACATCGCAACAAACTTGGAGGAGGAGCATCATGGTGTCTTGCCATCTGTCGCCTCATAACTGTCATCGATTGGGATCGAAAGATCTCCTCTGCCAAGTAGTGGGCACCAAACCTGGATGATCCAACCGAGCAACCTGGATGATCCAACCGATTTGCCGTGCTCTGTGTTGCTTGAGACTCGCACTACTCGACTGCCATCCGCATACAGGCCGGGCACCTGAGGGTCAACAGCGCGTCAAACGGGTGAAGAGAGGTGATACACGAAAGCTCTAGCTAGGACCCCTCTGGGCGAGGTCAGGGCCGGCCCCCTTCACCAACCCCCAAAGCGATTGGTCCAATCCTCATCGGGTCGTCCCTCCAGTCGCTCCAGGGGCCCCCGGCATGAATTTCCATGCAATTGAAGATGCCATCGCCGACAGGCTTCCGATGATGTCGAATCCAAGCAACCTGAGACCGCGTGGACCCGAGAAAGCAACGACGCTTCCCACCGATCCACAACGCACGGGACCTGCTGCTTCCCGTAGCAGGAGCAGGTCAGGTGCTTTGGAGAGAACCTGTCGTGGAAGGATTGGTGAAAGGACTTCGCTACACGAAGCAACAAGTCCAGGAAGCAACAAGTTTGTTTGTGCAGGTGCCATTGGAAAATTATCCAGCAAAGTCTTGCAGCAAACTATCTGATTGTACATCTATACATATATAAACTGTATACTGTATACCAAGAGCCGCCTCTGTGCACAAATCCTGTCTGAGAAACTTTGCAAACGGCCACTACAAATTGCTTTCGGCCATCTGTCAGCGCCACAGCAAGTATCAAGAGCAAGTACGAAGCAAGACAAAAGCTTCGTCAGTCTTCGGAACAGGAAAAAAAAAAACATGGAAAAAAAACACAACCCGTTGCTATGTTTGCTTCTTTGCTTCTCGGATCAGCTTCGACAACACGCTGCTCATGGAGCATGGGATGACGGGATGTGAAACAGCAGAGTGATGCAAGAGGAGAAAATGACTTGAGGCTCAAGGTCCTCAGCAGTGTTTTTTAACTCTTGCCTTGCAACTGCGGCTCCGCGAGCTCAAAGCTTTTTCAGGACTCTTGCTGAAAAAGACAGAGACCAAGCAGTGCCCACAGTGATTCACCGCAAGGCTCAAGTTCCAACAGCACAGCAAAGGCCCAAGTTCGATTCCGCCCATTTCCAAGGCCCTTTGGTTCCCTGCATCAAAAATCCCACTCACTGAGCAGTCAAATCACACCAACGTCTTCCCCACGAAACCCAGACCGGCTCAACGCTCGCACCCCAGGCACCCACCCTGGCCCCCTCTCGACCAAGGCCACACTTGGGGAAGCATAGCAGCAACTACTACGAGTCATCAAGGGGGTGGGAACCCTCGGTGTGATAGCCTAATGCGCGAACGCGCAACGCCCCCTCCCTTCCAAGAACCTAACTATATGCACGCTTCCCGGCTTATTCCCTGCTTCTTGGCACCCCTGAAGCTCTAACGCAACCGGCCAAACATCAACATGTATAAAGTGAGGCTAATTGGCGATTGTGAAAACTTTTTGAAGCTCAAATCGCCAACACAGGGCAGGTCAACTGGCAATTCTCGCATCGTTCCTGTACGAGCCGCCACTCCGTTCTTTCCTCAAGAATCATTGCTGTCAACACTGGCAACCTTGGATGGCTTTGGTGACCTTTCTGTGTGACCTTTACGGCTCTTAGCATGCGACTGAATTCCATGTCATCGCAAATGCAGGCCTTGGTCGGCAAAAGGATTCGTTGGAATCGAGGCATCCTGCTTCTTTGGATAGATAACATGATAACATGCTTTTTGTGAAGGAAGTAGGCTCTCCAAAGTGCCCTAGAATGTGATTCCCCGCTGTGAGCCAGGCTTCTCTGCATTGAAGAGATTCACGCCCTTTTCGCTCGGATTGTAAAGATAGAAGGAGATGCGGCGTGCCTCGCACCCAAATCGAGTGGTACATGTTCTTCTATTGATTAGTCCATTGATCTAGAATGCCCTATATATATAGTTGAAACTAAACACTCTCAGGAAAAGGTGGTGTGTTGCTGATCACTCATCACTAACATCGCGTTCTCAGGCTTTGTGGAAAAATCGTGCAGCCCGCACTGCCACACTGGGCTTCAGTAGGGCTCAAAACAGCACAACTGCCTCAAGATTTGCTCGGGCATACATCAAGAAGTCCTGTCAGGTATTCCGAGCATTTGCACTGCAGGATTCAGATTCAGGAAAGAAAAGTAGAGGTCCCTGGTACGAGACATGGTGCTTTTCAAATGCTTCAAGCATTGGCATTTTGCAGCGGAGACATGAAAAACCATGAAAAACCCATAGACCCACAACGACCCGATGATGTGCGGTGGTAAACTCAGTGCAAGATCGCCGGGCCAACGCCGTCATCCGAGAACAACCGGTACTGCAATTTGTCCTGCCAAACGAGCGCACAAGCACGAGCGAGCGGGGACGAGGAGAGAACGTGCGTTTTTGTGTCATCGTGAAGTTATATAAACCTGTGGATGCTCAGCGTTGATCATGTCTCTCGGCGAAGAGCGACATAGAGTCAATTCTGGACGTGTGTTTGGGTGGCTCAACAAGGAGCCATAGGAGTACCCTGCAACTCCACGTGCCAACTCTGTGCGAATCGAGAATCCACGGTGCGTGACCGGTCTTTTTCCGCGTTCTGAGAGACTTTGCTGTACCATCTCTTCCGCCACTCAGATCTCGCCCCTCGCCACGAAGTTCTGCAGGGTGCTCGCTGGGCTGGCGGATGCCGTTGCACTCCTGTTCCACGCGGCGCGGAGGCTCTCCGCCAAACGACCCTGTTCTCCGGTCCTCCGGCCTTGTGAAGGGAGATGTGCACCAACTCTTCTATTGGCTCTGCTAAAGGCTTTCAACTGACTCTTCTTTCTCGACCTGGGTGTTCAAAAGTATATAGCTGGACTTGTCAGTTGACAGGCTCAAGCTGAGAGAAGGACCACGTCGAGATCTAGCAGATTTTGAGCACTTTTGCTTTCGATTGGGATTTCAGCTTCAAGTTGCGGCTCTTCTTTGAGCTCTTGGAGCACATCAGGAGGTGACCGAGGCATCCTGAGTGCGGTTTTCGATACTGCCACTAGATCCCAAACAATTCGACGATCGCAGCATTTTTCGATTCCACCGAATTCAACCCATGCGATTTGGTTCGAATCACATCCTCCTAGCAATCGATAGAGAGTCTTTGTTCAAGGCAGCGGGGTTTCTGAGACAGCCACCGATGCCATGACAGCAACTCGTTTCGGAAAAAAGAAGAAAACTCCCACCCTATGCCCTTTCCTCCTCGCAGAAGTACGCGAGACCGATCATCTGTTCATCACAATCCATGGCCAGATGGATCCAAAAGGGCCAACTGCGTTTGTCTTGGTGCAAAGGCAGTTGCTTACTGAGGCCACAGCTCGCGAATCGCTGGCTTCTCAACTTTTCCCGAGCACTGGCCTGAGCATGGGGGCCAACCGTTCCCCATCTGCCACATGCAGACTCCGTGCGTTTGGATTTCGGTCCAAATGGTCCCTTGCGGCTGGCGGAAATTGATTGCTCCATGGAAAAGACTGGATGTTTTCCATTGTGTCGTGGTGCGTTCGTCTGGTGCGTTTGTCTGCAGGAGTGATTTGGTTGGGTTGCAATCTGCACAGGCTGGCTTCACTTGAAAAGACCCAGCGCGCGCTAGAACTTGGTGGAAGTTTGTCTGCAGGAGTTTGTCACGATTGCTTTGAATTCGTTGTACTTGATCAAAGGTCCAAGGTGCGTGCAACCGCGTTTTGTTCACTTTAGTTCAAATATACTTTACTTATTTATTGGTAGTCACTTGCGGTCAGGTGCGGTCACTCGAGTGGGTGATGTTTAAGCCGCGATCTGAAAAACGCGTAAATCCTTTCCATGATTGCGGTAAATGCAAAGCTCGCAGTCACTTGCGGTCGCTCGAGTGGCCACTCTTGAGGCCGCCTGACAAATACGTAATACTACAAGCGACCAAGGGGGTATTAGACTAAATGAACCACATGCGGTTGATCGCGGTCGCTCTGCTTGTTCGAAAGTCACAAAACTCGCATGTTGCGAGCTCAATGGTATTGTCTGTTCATGTAGTGTCTGCTGTTGACCGGGTTAGCTGTTTATATAAATTGCTTTCGAAAGGGAAGAGACAAGAAGGATACACTCTTAGTCAGCTTCCGGAGCAAAAGAGCACACAGTCCAGCTCAAGATGTCAAGAATCGGAGGTTCTAGCACTGGGCAAAATCTGACACCCGCGCTACAAGTTCGGCTTTCCCGTTTGAGGCTCAGTATCTCAGGGTGACTTAGTACATGTGTGCCTTGCACTAAGAACCTCCAAAAAACGAAAAGGAAAGTGCACGATCACCCTGGTGGTTGCAGGGTCTCCGACTGACACATTTCCCCACATAGTGCTGAAAAAAGAATAAAGAAGCAGCTTGGCTTGTCATGACCAAAAGCTGGCCAGGGCACACGATTTCAATCGGTCATTGAATGACTGTTCGAAGCTCGTTGGACAGTTAAAGAACCGTGTTGACATAGCCTGACACCAAAGAGACCAGCTGTGACCAGCTGTCAGCCGTCAGTCAAGAAGTTCAATTTATTGGCCCTTGGTTGGGTTTGTGGTGCCGATTGTGTGTCAAGATTGAGTTGTGGTTGTAGCTGGTTTGATGATACGGTTTGTAGCTGGTTTTATCGAGTAGAATTTGATGGATGCTGAAGGATCCACAGAAGTACACGAAGAAAAACTGCACGATCCACGGTTCCGTGTGAGGGAGGACTTTTGAACACTTCCCGGTTTTTCCAACAGTCTCAGGACCCACCATGACAGGGGTGTGTGATCAACTGAGAGCTCTGCGCACCAGGAACTGGAATCGTTGGCCAAGAGAACCAAGAGATGGCCTGCCTCCAAGCAACACACAAACAATTGCAACAGAATGTAGTATCTTTCCAAAAACTTTGGTACAGTGGACAGTAGCCTTTGGAGAAAAAGAAACTCTGCTGAAATCTCTTCAAGCCAAACAGCCCGCTTCGAAACAAATCATAAACAGAACAGGCGAGTGCGGTGAGCCCTGGCCTGTTCCTGCTGCTTGTGGTGCACTAGTTGGGGCTAGTAGTGGGCGCATCTGGCACAATCAGTTCGAATCAACAAACCACACCATTGATCTTCGGATTTCTCATCTGCAGAGGGTTTTCTTGCCTGCACCCGCACTCGAACATGACCAGCCGTTCTTTTGCCATTCCAAATGGGAACGGTTAAGTCCTACAGGGCAAGGTGGGTATTGCCGGTCTTCCGCATAGAATCGCACAAAAAGCACTCCTCCATTGCCTGTGGCTGATTGAAGAGTTTCATCAAGCCATAGCTTGCAGACCCAACCTGGGCTTGTCCAAAACCCAAAAGGTAAACGGTCATTCACCTCAAAGGGTACATCGTTGGCTCGACCCATGCTATCACATGGTTGGAGGTGTCACCTCGACTGATCGAAGCAGCACTGCAAACCCCACGGGCGTCTCTGGCACCCCTACATGTCTTGGAAAGATGAAGGTCCGTGGTAGCGATGCCGGTTGTTACCAGTTCCCCGCTCGAGGTGGGGAGGCGGTGCAACGGACCAGGGGTGACCTCTTCTCTTCGTGTTGAGACGGAGACCGTGGGCTTGCTCCACGGAGCAGCTCTCGTGGGGCAGCGAGCTCGTCTCTCACGGACGCTCGCACGTCAGTCTTGAGACGGACGTCCGTTGCACCAGACTTGGTTTCCGTTTGAGGGAGATCGGAAGGGGGCTGGCGGCCAACCATTTCTATGCGACTGGCTGTGGTTTCGCTGAGGCTTACAGTAAAGATCTTCCAATGCATCTCAAATACGAATAGGATCAAAATAGGGTGTGTTTGCAACGTGCATGTTCCAAAAAGACAACCACAGGCGCCCGAGCACTCTTCTTCAGCACATGCTTTTGGCTGTCATCTTCTGGGCCGAACAGTTCCGATTGCTCTGCCAAGCGACCCTTTCGTGCCGAGCACTCTTGTTCTTCGAGGTGCCTCTTTCTGGCCTTTCCATATGCGCGGCGAAGACGATGCGCGGCGAAACGAATACATGCGTTGAGCACCGAAAACTCATGGTGTGTTAGGCATTCAGCACCCTGGCCTTCGAATCTCAATGTCCACTTCTAATTTGCGGATGGGACCCTCTGCTGAAGAATCTCCATCCAGAAGCAAGCAAAACCTGGGAGTAGCTGATTTCTGCACAAATTAGAGCGACTTGCTCTGGGGAATTGGCGGCTGCTTCCAAACCGCATCAACGCCTCAAGAGGCCACCATGCTGCGATACGCTAGTTTCCAAGAAGCATATCACAGCATGGCCTCCGGGCAAGGAACCTGGCATTGCATCAACGCGTCCGAGCAAAAGTCTCCACGCCTGCATTCAGCTGAGCAACACGACTCAGTCAGAGAGGGCTGAAGGCAACGGGACGTGTCTCGCCTGTTCCGGAATGTTTCCCAGAACCAGCCGTTCCACCTCTGCGTCAGCACCAGCTCCTGCCCAGGTATGGCCAGAATGTCTTCAAAAGCTCCGCTTTTCACCTGTTGCTTCCATTCACTCCTGTCAAATGTTCCAAAGCCCCCAGGTATCTCCACTCCTCAGGAACTCCAAAGTCTTTCGCAGTGTTATGTGGTGGCAAAAGAAGAAAGTGCTAGATATACCTGGCAAAATGGGTGTGTCATAGGGAGACCCCCTGGCCCCTGGCTGCGTAGACTTATCTATTTCTCAAACCTTCTAGCAGGTCGTTGCATGGGAGGTCTCCCTATTTTTATAGACCCAAATGCTTTATCTTCTAGATACTGCCCAAGTCTGCTTTTCTACCCGACCCTGGAACATTCAGATCTGACTGCTCTGAGGTCCTGGCCTGAAGCCCATGCCGCGCTGGCGAAGCAGCAGGAACTGCCAAAGAGGTCTGCTCGGCGATGGCAGCATTGAAAGGTCTCCTCCACACCACACCAGATTCGTCCCAACATGTCGTAACATGAGACTCCCAACTAGTAATATAGACTCTTGATTCATAAGACCTCCCCTTTGGGATTGTAAAACCTCTTCGTATGCCGGGTTGAACTACAAGCAAAAGTCTACACTAACTATTCACAAATTACTCACTCTTCGACCCTCTAAAACGCAATGTTGGTGATTTCAAGCGGCCAGCGGCCATTGCCCCCCCGCTTTTGGATACACCCACCCAGCTCATCACAAGACAAAGTCCACAGGTGCCCATCCAGACTTTCCGCCCTGTCAACGACGTCTTCGTTGGGACCCGGCTCCTCACCGAGACCACGGCCCAAAGCTCGGTTTCATCCTGGGAGCGAACCGGACCCGGAGGACCGGCTTGGACAAGATCAGATGACTTGGTGGGCCTCAACCGCCTGCAGGCCAACTGCATGAAACACATCCTTGGTCCAGCACGTGTCTTTGCTTCTAAACTGGAAGAATGGACTGGCAATCCAAGAACATGCATACTGCAAGGAGGACACAAACACAGAGTAAGCCTATATATACGGAACACAGAGCCCAACAACTAGTGTGTGTGTGTGTGTGACACCCTTGGATTCACTTCACCCGGAACCTTGTGGTCTTACAAGCAAGGGGCCATCCCTCTCACCATTGGTGGATGTGTCAAGTCTGTCAGACCTGGAGATGTGACGTCTTCGTTGGATTGACGCCGACACTCGACGTGAGCTTTCTTGTCTAAGTGTGTGTGTTGTGTGTGTGTGTGCGAGTGCGAATCTCAAGTGTTTCTTTGATGCCATGTTGTGCCTTGAAGTAGGCAATCAAAGGTGGATTTTTCAGTATACTCTTGCCTTGTTTTACTTGTACTCACAATGTCTGTACTGATCAACGATAGGCTGAACCTGCGGAAGCTGAGCCAACCAAATAGCGATGGCCTCCAACCTTGTCGAGATGGCCTCCAACTAGATGGCCTCCAACCTATTCAGGCTCTTCCCGTTTTTCTCAGGCCATGTTTTCATCTAGGACCTAGGTTGCCATGCGGCATGAGGCATTCATTTCCGTATGCATTTCCCGAGTGTGTGTGTGTGTGTGCATGCGTGCTGCGGGCCCTTTTGCCCTTCTCGACTACGGTCCGGTCCACGTCGGAGTGGCCACGGTGTGGTGCGAGCCGCTCCCCCAAACGGCGGACCACGGGGTGGCGCAGAGCAGACCACCACTCTACAGTGAAGCCTGCAGGGTTGGTCTGCGACTTTCGGACTTTAGGAGGGAGAAAGACCTGGGAGTGGAAGGCAGGGGGGATTGATTCCACAGGGCTGACCATGCACTCTCAGGTTTGCGTCAGGGGATTCCAGCAGTTCAAGAACCAGCACATGTTCACCACACATCGGAAGCAAGCACAGCATGCATCTGTGAGAGCCCATCTGTGGTCCCGTCGTGGGCGGGCTTTCTCTTTGACATCGTGGGTTCCAACATGTTTCGAGATGGAACATTTTGCGGATGCGACACTGACACTCACGCCACTCTGTGCTTTTGAAGTTGTTTAGTCTTATTGCTGCAAAGGCTCGACGAAGAGGAGGCAGCTACTTCTGAAGGGTGTGCCAAAGGTCCATGCTTGGTCACCTCCACAAAACCGGCCATGTCGGGTGGATGAGGACGACAAAAAAATGGAAAAAGAGAGAGAGAGAGAGAGCTGTCCTCACAGATCTGCAACTGAGAAGAGGCCTTGGACTCCACCTTTGGCAAGTTGTCGCCTCAGAGCTCGTTCATTCGGACGCCTTTATATACGGCTCACCACAAAGAGGCCGATATCATCAGCTGTTCAGCTGCTTTTCTTGGCTCGGCCAGCTGTTCCAAAGGCACGTCTTGTGCCACGGGTCCAGCAGCAACTTTGTAGCCAGATTGCACATCTTTTCACAAGGAGACCAGACACTGCATGGTTGCTGAGACAAAACCATGTGCTTGCATTTATGTGTTGAAAGTGTCAAGCAGTATCTGGACCCAATGAGCTCATGGCATGAGGCGGGCGGATGTCTTCATGAAAACGTCTCTACAGTACTAAATGGTCAAGAGTCAGCTATCCTAGTCGTGGTAATTGCTCTAGGTGGCCTTAGTCAAAACGGTGCGATGGCAAAACATGTGGGTGTGCCTTCAAAAAACAAATCGAGCAGCTCAGGTGCAGCCTGGAGGCACAGAATCACGCCCGATACTAGGCTGCTGAGCAAGATTTGCGAATATATTTTTCCCCCTTGGATGAACCGATGGGAATCTCCATCGTTTGGCTTTCATGAGTTCTCTCTGCTTTCTCTTTGAAACACCAAGTCACACTGGAGCTGAAACGCTGGCCCGACCAGCCACACTCTCCTGGTCAATTCCAGAAATGCTCAAACTTTCCAAGACTCACCTCTTGAGAAAACACTGTTTAGTTAAAAGGAAGACTCCAGACCACCTCGTTTTGTGACCGAATCTCCCCATGTTCCAAGCCAAGCACATGCAGAGCCCGCGGTCCCGACTCCATGTGAGCAAAGCTTGAGGTGTGATGTCTGCCTCCTGTCGGTCGCGAACCGGTCCAACCGAGCCCTTCAAAGCGCCGGTCTTTCGCGTTCGAAGCGGCGCGAACGAACCGACTGCCCTCCGATGTCCTCGGCAAAGGCTCCCCACATCGTGACGCGTCGCCAGCCGTGAAAGGCCTGGCAACGAGTCAGAGCGGGGGGGGGGGGGGGCGGGGGGGAATCTCGGCCGGATCTCGCCGCTTGCAGAAGACACTGAAATGGGTCCGGTCATCAGAAAGACCGGAAAAACAAAGGCAGTGCATCCAAAAGCAACAGTGAATCTGGTGCATGTTCATGTCCAGTGACCAGAGCGCTCGAGAATGGCCTTCTTCCATTGCCGGCGTACGCTGTACGTCAGCATTTTGAAGCCGTTTTTCTTGAATTTATTGTAGGTCTCCTCATACCTCAATGTAGCAACAGTTGTCTGGCTTTCAAGCCGTTTTACCCCGCAGCTAGGCAAATATTTATATACAGACAAATACATAGGCCAGTACTTGACTTGCCAAGTGACAGATCGCGCATGCGGCTCACCTCAACTTTCGTGGGCACAGGTCCAATCTCCGCCACTTTGTCTTTGTCCAGGAGGGACATCCTGCTGAGGTCTATGTCCATCTCAAGCTCCTGTTTCCGGCGCTGCCAGTCTGAATATCTTTTGGAGTAGGAGCTGTGCATCTCCTTCCAAAGCGTCGCGGAAGTGACGCAGTTGCACATAAGATGACATGGGTGCTATTTGATATGCTGACGAACACCAGGACCGCCCCCACTCCTGGACATGCTTGGCGATGACATGGCTGCGAATGTAGAGAGGAATTATCTCCTCTCCCATCCTGTACTCCTTCCGGCTCACGTTGTAGCACAAGCACAACAAGGTGGAACCATCGAAAAGAACCCCAAGCAAAGCCCGTTGATGCGGCCGGACCTCTGCCGGAAAACCTCCTTCCTGATGCCAGCTAGACCCCAAACAGCTTCAGTATCTTTTTGAGTCAACTAATTGAATTCCAATGTGGTAACTTGGGAGCAATTGTTCCCGATTCCTGGGTCACATGCGCAACAGCGAGGGGATATATGATGTCATGAGAAGAAGAATCCGAGGATGATATCAAACTCGAAACGCCACACCTCACTGTTGCATTCACAGCCACATACGGACATACGGTGGAGAAAGGGAACGGGGACAAGGATCGGACAAGGCGACAAAAGGGCTGACGTCGACGGAGACAGGGACACACGGACCCGGACAAGGCATGGACAAGGCGGAGAAGGAAAAGAACACAGAGCTTGCCAGCGCGGCGAGGACGCCAAGAGAAGGACACAAAAAATGCAGAGGAGGACACATGCTTCGCCTTCGTGTGGCCAGAGGACAACAGAAGGACAACAGGAGGACACAGGGTTCAGGGGCACGGCCAGTGTATTATTTTTTCCTAAGAGAGAACCCCTCACAGGTATAGACTGTTTGAACTGTTTGGGAAACAAAAAAAGGGGATGAAATCTCTCAGTCTGATGTTCGGTCCTTGACCCAGGCAGGTGCTGCGTCTGGGATCAGCTTCAGTGGATCGGTGATCTGAATGGCATTTCGGCGCCTTGACCGAAAGGACTTGGGCGCAAGACCGCCACTCGGAGGTGGCGGTGCGACTGGAAGACCTTTGCTTGGAAGACCTTTCGGACCTTTGTCCCTCTTGTTGCTGTCTCGTTTGCTCTTGTTGGCTGCCTTGGGCTTGGGAACTTCCTCCAGCTCCCGCACGGCTGGCGTGCTCGGCACGCTCGCGTGCGCGCTCCACAGTCTGGACAGTTCAGCCTTCACCAGATGATCGGCCGAGAAATGGGCCATCAAAGCCTCCAAGTATGCTTGGCGCATCCGAAGGATTCGACGAAAGGCTCTCTGCACACGCCGCACGGCGGCGGTGTATTTTCGCACCAAGTCGGCAAAGGAAGGCTCTTGACGTGAGCCAATGTGAACGTTCAGGAACCATTGTATCCTGAATTGCAAAAGAAGACTTGAAGTTGGACGAAAAAAGACTCTGAAACAGAAGTAACGGCAGCTGAAATCAGCTCGCCTGTCATGCGCAATGAACTTCGCAGGCAAGAAGATGTGTCGTGCAAAGGCAGTCACTGCCAGGCGCATCCTGCACCGGGACACGCAGTTCTTGTGACACACAGGACAGACCAATGGTTGGTGCACCTAATGACATTGCCATGCATTTGACGTCGGCGTCTTCGGCAGAGGAATCCTCAGCAAAACCAAGACCACTCGCACGACTCTGTTGCACTTTCGATGGACACAGCGCAACGGCAAAAGGGAGGTTGCTGAGCCAAGGGCGGCGCACGCCAAACTGAAGCTTCAAACATGCATTGACTTCCCTCCGTGCTTCTTCGATGATCTTCCTCCGCTCTCTGACCTATCAGAACTTCTGAAGTCAGCTCCATCTGATTGTGCATGAGGACCCTGTAAGCAGGCTAAGCAGGCGGCTGTGTTGAACAAGGTCCAAGAGAAGCTCATAATCAGTAACTTGGCCATCCAGTCTGCTCGCCGTTGTTCCCTTGGATGACTCACATCGCTATAGCTGGTCGAAATGAAAACTGCAACTCGTAAGCTCTCGGGGGAAGTGAAAACGAACAGGGTCTCTCCAGCTGCATGTTGTTTGTGCACAGTGTATGGTTCTTCCAGGATTCGGATCAACAACCCAAAGAGTTGAGCCAGGCTTGACTCTGCAGGCTCGGGTACAACTCAAGGAACTTACCGCCATTTGGCCCGTCCCACCTGACTAGATTGAAGAAACATACCACACTTGATTGAGCAAGACCCTTGGTTTCCGTGCTTCTCCCATCTAGTTTATTTCGGTTGTTTGCATCTAGTTCATGTCAGTGTTTTGGCAATGTCATTCCGAGGTCCCATGATTTAAAAGATTTAAAGGAAGAGTTTGCTTTTTTGAACCCGATCCCATTTACAGGGCAAACCCTTCCTGTTTGCAGCTCATTCTGCCGATGAACACCTTGCAACAAATGCTACTCTCAGTCTACATACGTCTCTTCGGAAATGTGCTTGCAAGTGTCATCAACAGGGCTTCCTGCTTCTGCCGCTCCAGTGCTTGCTTCTCAAGCCTTCTCAACTCATGCCTTTCCACCCACCAAATCATGCGCTCGTCTCTATTTGCCTCTTCAGCTTCTCGTCTTTCTTCAGCTAGTCTCAACTTGGCTTCATGTTTCCACGCAAGTCGCTGATGGTGTGTTCTCATCCCTTCTTCCCAGTCCTTCACCTGGTTCAAATTGGCCTGTCGAAAGTTCTTCTTGGACTTTTGCTTTTTTCTCAAGTGAGCTTTGGCCTCTTTCAGTCTCTCATCGAAGATATGCTTCTGTTGGGCGTCGCTCCGAATCACTGCCAGCTTGTGCTCGACACGTTTGCAGGCAGACTGCAGACTGGTATACTGTCCACTGGCATCTACAAGCCGGCGAAGATTGATGCGAAGCCTGAACGTCGAGGCCGAATCCTCTGCGAACACACACAGGAACAGATTGGTTCGAACAATCCCGCTGCTTCGCGTTCCTCCATCCGGATCGTGCCGGTAGCAAAGCTCTCCGGCTTCCGCTTCCATGTCATAGTTTGTGGAACTGGGTGGCTCAAGGTCTGACCCATAAACCCGAGGATATCCAGAGAGTCTTGTGATACTCACAACCACCTCAACTCGTCGACGAGGCAGTGGAACGGTCACAAAGAGCTTCCCGTTGGCTTCCAGTGATTGGTCCAAAAGTGATCCTGGTCTCAAAGTCACTGGAGGAAGAACTGCTGGAGCTCCACCCGAACCCAAAGATGACTCGATCGTGGCAAGAAGCTCTGCAAATCTCGCAGATGCCTCACCAGGCTCCAGTTTTTCGCTCGAGAACTTCCTGGAGAGCTGTTTCTCGTGTCTAGGAGAACTGGCCGACGCCACAAAGTCCTCAACCCTGCCATTGGCCTTTTGGATGATTTCCTCTGCAACGAGGCAGTGTGGCCGATGCCCACTGATGCGTTCCAGCTCACCGATTAGGTCGGCACTGGCATTGTCCAAGCGCAAGGGCCGCGCCACTGGAACCGCTTCGTGCCATCGATACCCATCTCGTTCAGCGGGAGTCTCATTCAAACGTGCAGTGTTCGGGCGAGAGGACCATGCTGACAACGGAGTAGCCCGAGTCGGAGCTCGTGCAATGCTCAAGGGCGAAAAACGGCCGTTCAGCTCTTGCCGTGTCGACTTCAATGGAGCCTCACCAGATCCATCTGGAGCCATTGTTGAAAAGCCAAGAATGTGTTTTTTCTCCTGACGTGCATGTGTTTTTGTATGTTTTTGTTGTGTTTTATCGGTCCACACCCTAGCTCATCCGCTTAACTGCAGGGGTGCGATAGTGACCCTCCATGCATGTGTTTTTTGTACTTGTTCATGTCTTGTCACCCTAGATCTTCCATTCAGACTGGCATCGTATTTGTCTTCAACTGCGACGATCTCTCTCTTGACAAGGACGATATCTTCCTGTGTCAAGTGTTGAGCCAAATGGCTTGAAAAGCACCTGTTCCTGATTGTCCTGGAGGCTGAAGTTGATTGCTCACTGGCTTTGTGCCGAACTCCTAAATCCTGGCTTTGTACCTGTGCAAACAACTTTCAGCCATGAAGTGGACATAAAAAATGGGCCGCTTCCTTCGTTCCTTCATTGAAAGCTTGGATTCAAGGTTGCCGTGCTTAGGTCAACGACCACTGGATCTTCAAGCTGCCTGTGGCAGAGCCAAAGCTCAAGGGAAGTTGGAGGACTTGTGCCTGTCAAAGCTTGCTGGGGCATTTGAAACGCCTTGCACAAAACAATCAAGTCGCATCAGATGGATTCTTCAGTGCTGAACCTCCTCGTCAGAGAAACCTGGATGACGTCCCTCAAGTGCATCTTTCAAAGAGATGATCACCAAAGGGGTATCACCTTGGCGGCTGAAGCGAAGCTTAGCTGAAACCATTCATCACATTAACCGACTCTGTTTTGCGTCCACTGTGATTCTTCTTGTCCATTCTGCAAACCATAGAAATAGAAGCTCATGACAAAAATCAATCAATCTTTACCATTCTTTACCTATGATCCCTTTTACAGCTTGTCTTGAAAATAGATCCCCACACATGCCATTTCAGGGATGCCATGAAGTCTTGTAAACCAAGTTGTACCAAGAAGCTGGAGTTGACGAAAATACTCAGGCACCTGGCTGCTGGTCGAGTGATGCGTTTCCACACCCACATCAGCTGAGCTGAGGCATGGGCTGCTGGTCCAAATCATCCACTACAAAGTCCAAGACATCGCCAGAGGCACAGTTGCGGGTACAAGCTCCCAGTGCTACCTGTCCAAAGATATCAGACTGCAGATATTTGCAGACTGCTGTGACGGTGACTGAAGTCTCGGGACCCAAAAAAGCCACAGAATCCTTGAAGGTCCGTTCTGTGGGGAATCGCCCGACAGGCCCGACCGGGCTCGGGGTGATTGACTCCTCCTCGGATCCGGTGGTACGGAGGTTGCCTCCCTCCCTCTGTGGCCTGGATGGACGTTAAGCTGGTCGGACGAGAAGAGTCAAAGAGCCATGAGTTGAGGGCATTCAGGTAGGGGTATCTTGATTCCTGGCAGGCGCCACGAAATCTGCGTTCAGAAAGGACTTTTGTTTTTAAAAAGAAAGACACGCCTAACTTTAGGACTTAAAGTAGGCCCAGACAGATGAGAGTGTGACCACCATTTTGCAAAAAGAGGTAAATACGTTAATCGTCTTCTGTGAGAAATGACAGGCCCCAGCATTCTCTCTCTCTCTCTCTCTCGCAAATCTCGGCTCGTCTAGATCTCTCTCGCGGCCGAGCCACAGCAGGGGCTTCCTCCCGCAGCTCTGCCTCCGCGGACGACTGCACCTGAGCGGTCGAGCGGTCGCGGTTCCTTGTGGTCGAGCGGTCGACGTGCGTCGGCGCGAGCCGCCTCGAGCTGCGTGCGCAGGACGCCGCGGGGTCGTGGGTGATGCAGGCGGAAGTGGTCCACACCTGACACGAGTGGCCCTGACACGAGTGGTGGGTGCGTTTTCAGGATCGCACGAAAGCCAAACTCCATTCCCCCTGTGTACGCTCTGTCCGCACTGTCCGCTGACTTGGAACTTGAAACTTGAAGATGTCTGTTCATGTGTCTCTCGCTTGCTCACTCACTCACTCGCTCGCTCATTTCGGACAGTGAGGTCACATTCTTTCGTTTCTATTCATGTGTGGAAGCGGTGGTCCAGGGTTACAAATGGTCAAATCCTGGGCTGTTTGTTCATCGCTGCAGCCTGTTTCATTGCAGCTAATACGCCGGTCCTTCTTCGGTGCCCCGGTGCCATCTATCACCAACAACCGTGCATACGACCGAAAACAGTGCATACACCCGATGGCCCGTCCCCAAGGCGCACGACCGACCACACGAAATACCCGTTCCATCAGTTCGTTTCACCTCGAGCCTGTGGTTGTTTCCAGCACCAAACGGGATGGTAGAACACAGGCATTGGCGACGGCTTCTCGCAGAACCTGCCATGACAGAAAAGAGAGGCCTTCCCTCTGCGTCGATGGCCAGAAACTGAGGATGACCAGGCTCCACAGACGTTGGAAGCACAGAGGGTGACCAATCTCTCGGCCCCGGGCCTTCAGCACCCTGGTCTTGACCAAGGAAGCTGTGTCACAGAAAGCATCCAGCACAAAGACTTTCGCATCGATCGTCAAATCAACCTGGTACCGAGACAAAGTTTGGCGTTTACGACATCAAACGCCCCCCGCAGTCGAACATCTTCTTAAACCAAACAGACCGCGCCTCAGGCATGTCAGGAAAATAGATGCGAATGCCGCTGAACCAAGGCGGTAAATGGGTCAGGTGGGCGAGCTCAACAACCTCCGAGCCGGGACAGCTTTTTGGTCACAACCCTATCGCCCGCACCATCCTTTTTTTAAGTGCAATGCGATCTTTCCTCGGAGCTTGAGCTTGGTAAGTGCAACATGGCCCACTGCACCCCCTCGGAGCTTGAGCGGTGGGCAAAGAAGGAGTTCGGCACTGACAAGCTGGAAAAGGGGGAATCTTAAGACAAGACCAGACAAGAAAGCTACAGTGTTTGTTGCGGAATAAAAAAGAATAGTTCTAAAAAAATGGAAGGCAGGCCCCATGCCAGGTTTGCTGAGGAAATATGTCAACTCCTCTGTTGTGTTAGGGTGGCTTCACGTTGAGTATACCTTTACATCTGTCTCTGATCTGTGCTGCGGATTTAGTCAGGAGAAAGATATTGTTTGAATATTCCATAGAATGTCCTGCAAACAAGACAAAAATAATTCCAAAGAACCAGAAGGTCTCCTGCCTCCTCCTGCTCGGATACCCACAGTGATTTGACCATCACCAGAGTAGTCCTGAGCAAAAGAAATCACTGCACTCTTGGACTTCCTGTGTTGCTGTCCGTCTGCAGTGGTGAATGTTTTGCCCAGATTCCAGATCGGCAACACATTTGATGGACTTGAAGACATCGGTTCCCCATTCCTGCAGTGTCAACTCACTTGAGACACTAACCTCCTCGGAGCTCACAGGACACTCCTCGGAGCTCATGGAAGAAGTAATCCCCTCTAAGCGCATAGGTGTTGAGCCCAGACCAATATCCTCGGGTCCGAGCCCAATCTGTGCACCGTTGCACCATTTCTGGCAGCAAAAATCGTTGCCTCAAACTCCACGATGTCCAGCAGCTGCTTCTTGAGCTCTGGTTCCAACTCGGCCTACGAAACTGAACGCATATACCAGCCCATCTTGCTTCTTGGCCATGCTCATTTCTCTGCACGATCATCCTTCACTGCTTCTGCACGATCAGGCGGCCTTTAGCTTCCTCTGAAACCATTCAGAGATCGAAGGCCAAAGTCTCTGGATCACCTGAGCGGCGGTTCTCCCGACTCGTCTCTGTTCGTGGGAACCCGCTCACCGTCACGAGCCGAGAGCTATGAGAGCCGATCTATCTAGTGAAAAGGAGACCCTCAACGAATGGTTGTTGGTCTTGTTGGTCTATTTTCCCTTTTTCCACTCTTCGGGCTCTCCCTTTTCCACTACACAAAAAAAATCATATTTAGTGCAAGCCTTCCTGTCCAAAGAAGGGGCATATCTGAGGTTGTTGAAACGCAAGATAGTAAGAGTCTATAGCCCAACAATGGGCGGCGTGCAAAGCGCTTGAAAGGGCAAGCAGAACAAAAACCTGTAGGGCCTCTTTCTTGGGGGCTGTGAACTTTCTTTTAACCCACAACGTAGGACCAAAAGAGCCACCGAAAAAGGACAGACCGTCCCCCAACTGCCATGGCACATCATTCAAAAGCTCCTCACCTGGCCATAACTCGCTGATCTCCTTTGGCTCTGAACTGAGCACCTAACTCTCCCGGTGCGAAGTGACATGAGTGCAGCAACGCAAAGAAAGGCAAAAAAGACTGTAACTTGACCTTGCCACAAACATTCGCCACAGAGTTTGTAACAAGCTCAGTCGCCTTTTTCGGAAGCGGTTCAATGGCAGGAGAACAAGCTGTAACGCATCCTGCAAACAGTGAAATGGCGCAAAAGAAGGACTAAAAACATCCAAACGAGCTGAGCTGTAAGGTCCAGCGCCTGAGCGCTTCGCTTGGTCACACACCAAAAATAGAGACCCTCGGAGCGAACATGAGGATCCAACCCCTCCGGTCCGGCAAGCCGGTCTCCGGCTTCGGTCGCTCGACGGAGCGGGGTGGCGGGGGTGTCCTGCACATGCACCGCAGACTCGAGCAGCTAAACGAGCCAAAGGTCGGAAGTTCCAGGTCCTCACCGAGGTCGACGTCCGAGTCGGGGAAACGACGAGGAGGAGTTTACTCGGTCCCGAGGAGTTTGGGCGGCGGTCCTTGTCCGTCCTTTGTGGCGGTTTTGGAGGATTTGGGCGATCTCACTGCTGTGATTCCAAGAGCTATCAATTTTTATTGTTCTGATTCCAGAGTCTTCCGATGTAAAGGGACTGTTCTGCTTTTGTTCCAACTCAGCAAAACTGTTCGACCAACATGCAACCAGCTTCGGACAAGGGGATCGAGTCAAGTGCAGTACTGCAAAAAGGTACTGTATAAAAATCAAGCAACTCACCTTAGCTGGTCAAAGACCCAGTGTCAAAAACTCTCCCAACTGTGGCACGAAGTGTCTTCCCGAACTGTGGCACGCTCCTGCGTCGACCTCTGTGTCGCTGGATTTCCATGGCGAAGGCCCACCATGCGTCGGCCTCCGGTGTACTACATTCAAGCAACAAAAACGGCTTAGAAGGTCTTCAGATCAAACAGTGTGCACAACAAACGCATGTTGGTGTTTCTAGATACCCATAAGACCATGGGCCCGGCGTGCATGTGTTTGTGTACATTTGAGTAATGATGCACTCTTTGATGAGCGTATCTGCCCGTCATGTTTGGAGCAGTCACGGCGACAAGAGCACAGAATCACAACAGTTTGGTCGTGACACACGGAGATGAGTGCAAAGTGTTCGGGCTGCTTTTCTCAGAGCTGCATGGAGACGACCTCAAAGGAGCTCACAGCAACCCATAGAGCGAGCGCAGCCATCCATGATCCTTTGCGTGAAACCGCAGCTATCAGACCTGGTACCTAAGTGAGCAAAACTCGAGGAACTTGAGGAAGAGGCCCAGTATTAGCGGAGCTTTCACTCCAAAAACTCCAATACTCAGGAAAAATGTGAATTTGCATCTGAAAAGGGGGTGTCTGCTAAGGAATTCACGGAGTGTACCTGGAAAAGCCTCCACTTGAAAAGCCAGCAGCGGGTCCTGCCAGCGTCTGAGCCTGCAAGATGCACTGCACTTACTCTATATGTCTGCCCGAACAAAACAACGCACCAAGCCGAACGGCTGCGAAACAAATTCCCAAACCCGACCTCTCATCTGCGGATGAAGCCAAGGAGGAAATCACAACATGTCACAACCATCCACTGAGACTCAGGCAGCTTTGCCACTGCTTTGAGACCTGAAAAACGCGCTCCATCCTTTGGCCTCCAACCTACTAGCGATGGCCTCCAACCTTAAGTTTCCCCAAAAACAAGGAACCAAATCATTAGTGCGAGCGCTATCGTGCGTCCTGTCAGTAGTAGCTACTTGCAGGTACTAGCTACCTAGCTACTAGCCACAAGCGGCCAACCCCCCTTTAAACAAGGAATAGTAACAGTAATAGAATAGACATAAGAATAACTATATAATAATAATAGTAACAACAATAATAGCAATAAAGTACAAATACGTTAAAAGAAGAAAAAAACGCACGCCAACTCCATGCCGTCTGCGTCGCTGAAAATAGGTCACCGTCACCGGCGCCGTCATGGACCCGATCCTGCGGGCGGCCCGGTGCCAGTGCGTTGCTTTGCGCGAGAAGCGAGCGAAAAACAAACCAACGGTGCCAGGCAAGCTGGTGGGGGTTTAGGGTTTTGGGCCATTTGAAGAGGTGAACGTTCTGCGCCTGGGCTCGTATTTCTGATGAAGCGCCTGGTGAGCAAGGTCCAGCTCACAACGTGTCAAGGTCAAGAAAAAACATCACGCGAAATCACGAAAGGCTTCACAGCACATTAATCCGCAGCCAGGCAGAAAGTTTGACAGCAAGACTGCAAGACAAGTCCGAATTTGAATCATGTGTGCAGATGTTGGCATGAAATGAAGAAACACCAAGCTGGTAAGGGAAAACAAAACAGGCGCCGTTGGCAAGTATACCCCAAGCCACCTTCAAAGCACTTTCGGCTTCTGCTGGAGTAGCCTTGGGCGACAAGCAGCGTGCACTTCCGAAAAAAGTATCAGAAGACAATTGACTATTTATCACCTTCAACTCTTTCAGACAGTGAGGTTTGTGTGTAGTCTTGTTCTCACACGCTGAAGCTTGATGCTGTGGCTTCCACTCCCTCAAATAGAAAACAAACTAATGTCTTCGCAACTTCTTGCAAAATGTGTGCATTACAACTCCAAAGCAGATTGCAGGCAAGAAACCATTTCCACAAAAGCACACGCGCTGCCAAACTTGGATTTTCCTGTCATTACCTTCAGCTGCATTCAAGAAAACAGCGAAACGTGTTGTCAAAGAGCAATGAAAACTGCCCGAGGAATCCAAGAAGTTCACGTGCACATTGACGACTCTGCCGCACTCTCCAAAGACCTGACTGAGCCTCAAGCGTCGAGGAAGCCAACAAGTAACATGTCGAGTGCGTCGGCACCGCCGGTCAATCGGTGGTCCCAGTGGACCCAGTTGGCCCACTTGAACAGGGTGTTCCAGTTGACCCAGTTGATCCACTTGACCCAGTTGATCCAGTTGACCCAGTTGACTTTGTGTGAGGGCAACTGGATCAACTGGGTCAAGTGGATCAACTGGGACCATTGGTTCGGGTGGAGCCAGTGCCTCGGGGTCAACTGGGTCAATTGGACCTGTGACAGGTTGAGCACTCCCCAGATCTAAACAGGTGACCCGTGTGCCGGCCAACATCGTACGTCTGAGAACGACTTCATATCGCAAGAATAGATTTGCTGATGAGATGGCAAAAAGGGACCTTCCGCCTGGATATGTCCAAAAATTAGACGTGTGTGTGCGTGTGTGTAGATCATAACCAAAGCATCTTAACTGCGAGATACGAGATACAGTACATCTTTGGATGATTTTGGATCATTTCTGCCACATGTGAATGTTGTGTGCACACAGGTCTCCTCTTGGGGTCCAGTCAGTTCTCGACTCGTTTGAGGAAAGGGTCCCAACCAAGGTCAATACTGGACCCCCTGTGTTGAGATTGCTTTTTACCATTCAGATTGCCTCATTTATACCTAGCACTAGTAGGGATCCATCTTTGATCGAACATGCCCAGTAGTAGTCGTCGCCATGGGTCTTCAAGTAGTAGTCGTCGCCATGGGTCTTCAATTTAACCTTTTATTTCATGTGAATGTGTCTTGTCTTGAAATGGAATACTAGTAGAAGTAGAAGTAGAAGTATAGAAGTAGAAGTAGTAGTAGTAGTAGTAGTAGTAGGAGTAGGAGTAGGAGTAGGAGCAGCAGCAGTAGCAGCAGTAGTGGTAGCTTGTTGGGGTCAACTGAGTCAGCTGGATCAACTGGGTGAACTGGGTCCGGAGAATTAGCATGGCCCCCTGTGCGATTGCAATGAACATGTCTTCAAATGTCTTCATAGTTCAAGGTTGTATAGTTGTATAGGCACCCAAACGTGCTTCAGGCCAGAACCGCGGTTTCAGACCAGAACTGCCATCGCTTCTCATTTCAAAGGACACTAACCTCGCTCATGTAAAGGACACCAAAAGAACACCGTCGTCTTTCCACGCCAAAACACCGTTCCCGCGGGATCTCCGCATGCAAATTGCCCACAAAGAGTTTGCCTCGGACGACACCGGTGTCGCAGATCTCCGCATCGCAGCATCTCGCATCGACGCAGAGCACCGAGCACCGTCTCCGGGATCGATGGTCGACGGAAACGTGTTCTCTGTCTGTCCGACATCGGTGGTGTCCGATGTCTGGGTCCCAGGCAGCGAGTCTTTTCTGCAACATATGAAGCTGTTGCGGATGCCTCAGCACCAGTCAGAGAGAGAGAGAGAGAGCCAAGTTTAGATTGAAGATCGTTGCAAGTAAGGTCATCACCATTTGAGCTGTGCTGCTCGAGAAATTGCCGCCCTCACACACAATGTTGCAATGCAAACCTCTCCACTTCCATATGCCATGATGCCGCTAGTCTGTCTGCTTTTCCAATTCACGCCTTATCTGCTCCAATCAAGAGCGCAACCTATGCAAAAGAAAGGATGAGTCCTGGTCATCTTACCTCCCACATCCTACCGTCGCATGTAGAGATTGGCCCAAAACTCGCAGCTCACCTGATCCTCTGCAGGTGGAGGCATCAAACCAGACCTCGAGTGCGTGCTAGGTGTGCCTTCGGCACCACTTCTTCTCACTTCGGCCACGTGCTGAACTGGATCTGGCAACGCGCCAGGTCTCGCGAGCATGACCTGGGTGGCACTAAGGTCAAAAGCGTCAACTTGTCTGTGCTAGGAGACACGTGTTGGTCAACTGTCAATGGGCAGCGGATAGCTGGAGAGTAGTCAACATAGGTAGACATAGTTGTGGCCACGTGTTGCAGGTGTTGAAAGCACTCTTGAGGCTGTGACCACCAAAGGTTCCGGGGAGGAGCTACCTAGCTAAGGACAACGCGAACACGCCGAATGAAGTGTTAGCTAACACGAGCGAAGCGAACACAAGATGGAAGTCATTGACCACAGAAAGTTGATAGCAAGTCGCACCCGAAATGATACATCTTTCTCATTCAAGAAAGCGTCACTGGCCAAAATGAGCTCGAGTGTGTCATAGCAAGTTGGAAAAAAAGTCCGCAAGACTTGGAAGTTGCTTTACAAGTTTCGTGAAGCTTTGCCAAAGCCAAAGGGCAAACTCGATGGGTGGTTACCTTCAATTTGGTGCTTTCACCAGGCAAGAACATCATCGGTTGCGCAGGGGTATGATGAGATAGTGCTGGTAACCCTGCTCTCTGTTTTCAGTTGGGCTGTGTGGGTTAGCAAGACCTTGAGCAAGGGGAGGCAAAAGGTAGTGCCTGGTGCAGCCGGTGGCCTACAGAAGTTCTTCCCACTTCCAACACTGAACTGGTCGAAAAAGGATTCCGCTGACAAGAAAAACATTGATGAGGAGAGGATGAAGCTGATACTCCCCAGGTATACGCACATGAGGATAGCCAGAGGAAGAGTGAGAAGCAGGAGACGGTCAGATCGGTCGAACAATGAGAGTCAGGACGCACCGAAGGACGCACCGAAGCAGCGAGGTTTCGGCAATCCTCAACATCCCGCCTTGGAGAAACAAAGGAACCATGAAGTACCATGAAGCTCCATCTCACGCATCCTTCTTATGAGAAAACCCAAAAAATCGGAGAAGTTCGAACTTCCTTCTTTCAGCAATTCGAGCTCTTGTACTTGAAGTCGAGTCGAGTCACCGTGACTGAGTCACACGACGGACACCGACATCCCACGTGACTCAGTCGGCCCCAGTGGAGTCGAGGAACGGGGTCGATAGACGCCGTTCAGCGCACGGATGGCCACGGCCGCCGCATCGGCCTGGCGCGAAAAGCGGCCGCGCCAGGATGGGCCATGCCAGTGGTCAGAATCGGTTCATCCAATTGGGATCTCAATCGGTAAAGTCCATGGTATATTGGCAAGAAATCCATGGTAACATGTCTATTCCATCGTACATCACAATCCATTGTATAGAGGTAGACATGTTGCCTGTGATTGCAAGATCACGGGTGCACAAGACAAGCCATCAGGTATATGCGCCAGCCAACGAGCTTGCGCACCGTACTGTAAGTGATAAAGGCGCATGCCTCAGTGCTAAGCTGTCTGCCAACTGCCTTTCCAAACTGCAAGTCCGTTGAAAGTTGGAAGTCGCAAGTCCGTTCTGCCAGGATCCTGGCCTGCCAGTCTATCTTCTGGCCTGCCAGTTGAGGCCGTGGTTCATCAGGTGCAACAACACAAGGTGTCGAACCCTAGAGGACGCAGAGCTTAAACCAGAGATTCCTTGACAATGTCCATCATAGATTAGTGACAAGTAGCGATTCGCAAGCGAGATCTCCAGCGGGGCAAGACTGCCATTTGGGCCTTGGAACGCGACGATCTCCAGCAACACATTTCCGGAGCACACAAAATGCAGCTCAAGCCCCCACAAAGTGATGGCAAGCCAGGCCACATGATGACCTGCAGAGCAAGTCAAATCCATGGTGCCCACAATCAGGCGCGATGGTCTCTCGATTCATTAACTCTCTCGAAACTCATATAGTCATATCATGAGGTGGGCACATCAGCACTGCGCACCGCGCCATACTTGCTGAAAATGTACTTCACCTGCTGGCATGTTCTCCTTTAAATAGGTGCAATCATCTTTATCCCAAGTCAAAAGCAGCCAGCAGTTGAACCCATGACAGGCACCCTACGACTCATGCGTTGCAGTGCCAAACCGCCTCCTTTTCTTTGATGTCGGACGGCAAGTTTCGGACCTCGGCAAGTTGTCGGGCGGTTCTGTGAAAAACCAAACCTTTTGTGTTGGGACTGCGGCAAAGATCTTTGCATCCGGTGGTGACATTGGAGGAAGTGAACTTTGTAGGGCGTTGCGTTGAAAATTGCAACAAGTGAAGGGTACTACGGTACTATTGCTATGTCGTGTGGATCACTGCAGCTCGGAAACCAACGACAAAAGTATCTTTGTCTAGCAAAGGCGTAAGAGTGCTTTGATTGCTTCTGTTCGAGAGTATGCAGCTTAAAACAGTGTTCAGTTGACTCACGTTGTGCCATCTCTTGAGATAAGAAGCAGCTTTGGCAAGTAAAGAGAAAGTAGAGGAAAACACACATGGCCTGAAATACTTACTAGCCTATCCGTTCATTAAGTGTTCAGTTGACTCACGTTGTGCCATCTCTTGAGATAAGAAGCAGCTTTGGCAAGTAAAGAGAAAGTAGAGGAAAACACACATGGCCTGAAATACTTACTAGCCTATCCGTTCATGCCGAGCCAGCTAAATCTGTTACAAACTCTTCAGGACTGACCAACACGCCACGCGGGAGAGACACGGTCTGCTGGCAGATCTGCCATCCATCGAGCACATGAACTCGGCTCCTCAGATCGAATCACATGGAACTTCCAGAGCTTGCTGGCTCTGCGCAATGGATGCATAAACCTCAGGAGGTTCAACCGCGCAAAACGCTGAACGCTTGCTCGTGCTTGCTTTCCTGGTGCAGAAGAGGCAGCATGGCCGCATGGCATTTTTCCATTGCAATCTTTTCCAGCTTCTCTCATTACACCAACACTTGGACTGTTTGATCTCCGAAAGGGAGCTCCCAAAGGGAGCTCCATGGGGGTCCCTGCTCTGTCACGATTTCCCGGGCCAAGCCCTGAGACGCGCACGTCGTCTTCGACGTATCCCGACGTCAACTCGGTCATCGGATGTCTGCGGTCCGTGAAAGCGGAAAGCAACGGATGCTGAGTGGATCACATTTTCAAGGCTGTCTGCAATGTCGAATGCACGCTCACGGTCCCACTTGTCTTCGTCTGCATCAACGGCCTGCAATACACACAAGGTACCCGGCCAGTTGGTCTTTTAACTGCCAGAGAGTGCAAAGCAATGGCTGGTCCAAGGGCCACCTTTTGCTCAGGAAGCTTTGAGCCAGAAGATGTAGAACTGCCTTAGAAGATGGATGACTGGACATAACTAGCCCTCACAGTTTACTTGCAGGCAAGATACCAACAAGAGAAGAAAACCATGTTGTAAGCGAGTTTGCCTACCACCGCACCAACAGCAAATTTGGCTGACTCAAGAATAAAGGAATAAGAAAGGAAGTCAAATCGCCTCTTCCACTGTCATCGTGAGTTCAAGGCACACTCCTTCTCAACTAGTGTCTACGAACCCTTTAAGGGTCAAGGCACTATCTGCTGACTTGTACCAAAAGCAACACGCCGGTCACAGCCTCCAGATTTGACCCTCTATAGAGCAAGCATCAAAGAAAACACCCTTAAAAATACAGGAGAAAAAGAGTATCTACAGAGAAACAAGGTCTTCCAGCATGCACCTCACCTTCCCATGATTCTTCAACAAAGAGAACATGTGACTGCGTTTCAGTGAGGCCAGTGAAGACAAGTTGGAACATTTGACGCCATGCAAAGAAGCACTTTGGCCAAGACAAACTCTCCGAAGGTCCGTTCCAAAGGCTATCGCGGCTACCCGGCAAATCTGTACGTTTGGTCTGCCGACTTCCTTTCGTATCGCAACCTGAGACGTCAAGAACAGCTTGGCAGCGAATGTCAGAGGCAGACCTCCCCTGGGTCCTGGACAACTCTGTGTGCTCGCCCTGTTCCACCGCTTGCGCTTGGAGGTGGACCTGCACCCAATCACCCGATCCGGGTGGAGGTACTGTTTCACAAGGGTACAAAGCTTTTGCATGCAGAAAACTGTTCGGCTCCACATGCCTTCTGGACCATCTGAATTTCGAAGAATAACAAAACCTCAGGGTCATCTGAACACTCCGTGAAGAACAGCAGAACAGCAGCCCAAGACAAGAAATGAAGGAGCGCTCTGCTGGGCATGCGGGCAATGGCCCAGAAGCCATAGGCTGCATTGATGAATCCGCAAACGAAGATTCGGCCTCGTGCCAGGCGTGAAGAGTTGGCACGTGCCAAGTGGGCTGCCTCTCCCAACCAGGCCCACGAGGCAGCGAAGTTGGGTGTCCAGCCGGACTTCAGCACGAAGGGGTTGGCCAATGCCTGAACCCGGAATTTCTAAAAGGAAGACGGCACTCGACGGGACGGACCTCGTTCTGTGATACTGAGGATCCAGCAGAGCACATGTCACTACCCATTGGAAGCCTAAGCTGCGCAGTGATTCTGCGATTCTGCAGAGTTTGGGAGCAAATGTTCTGGATTCCCATTTCCTTAAACAATTCTTCACATTCTTTCACTCATATGCACAAAAGCTATCAGCATCTATAGTACGGTGCACTATTATAGAAGATAATACGATATTTGTCCAAATAGAAGACCCTCATGTTTGGGGTGATTCCGGGTCAGGTCCACATAGAAGATTAGTCGCCTAATTTTAAACAAAAACAACCAACCTGGTTGGGAAGAAAAATACAGTAGATCAGATTGCTATCTCCTCTGAGCACCACCCTAGGTCAAACAGAGGATAATTAAGAAACAAAGAGGAAAAGAAAGCGGAAGGGGGAAAGGAAAGTGAAAGGGACAAGAATAACGCGCTATCTATTTATATATATATATAGAAGCAGAACAAAGGCTGCAAATACCACAACACATTCAATCTATATATTTCCACTGTGCCCGCAGAATTCTCCCAGAAGATACGGAAAGAGGACAGGAATGGAAAGGGAAAGGAGAGCGGAAGGGGAATAGGAAATGGACAGCAAGGGGGGAAGGAAAGGAGTGGAGGAGAGCAATGTACAAAAGGAATGGGGGATAGGGGTAGAAGAAACGAGGAATGGAGAGCACGAAAAGAGAGGAGGAGAGAGAAGGAGGAAAGGGGTTGAACACATCTCAAAACAGAGAAGTTAATATAGATCAATATCTTCTAAAGAGAACAGTCGATTCAAAAAGTCAAAACAGCAGGCGGAGCGAAAACAAGAAAAAAACAGCAGGAAACGAATAAAAAGAAAAGAGCAAGGAACAAGGACAGAAAACAACATTGGAAGAATTGTGAAAAGGAATGTCAGCAGTGGAAAATACAGCAAAGAAATGCCGACGCAGTTCAAATAGAAGATGAAGGAAAGGAAAGGGAAGGGAAGGGAAGGAAAGGAAAGGCAAGGCACGGCAAGGAAAGGGCAAGCATGGAGAGTAAGGCAAGGGCACCAAAAGAAAGGAAGGGCAAGGACAGGAGAATATCTTCTATATATCTGCACCAGCGCAACTCAACAAGGAAC